ATTTTATCTTCCCATGTACTGTTAATGTGTGAAGTTTAATCCTCAATAAATATGGTCGTAGGTGAGATTTATGTTTTAAAAGTAGATAGCATGGGGTTTTGGGGCATGGTGTTCAGGTGTCAGGCACGGCGGTGGAGTGTCTGAGGCACTGCGGTGGGGTGTCAGGGCACAGCGTTGGTGTGCCGAGCACAGCATTGGGGTGTCGGGGCACGGTGATAGGGTATCAGATCATAGCGCGAGAGACAAAGCCAACTGGCGTCCAAGTGATACTAAATATGAGAGCAGCCATCTCGAGTATGATTTGAAACAAAATAAGAGAAAAGTTGAGAAATGTTTTTTTTCAGATTCCTACAAATTAGAAAAAATATCAAACTTTACCAGCCAGACTATTAGTTGGATAACTTTAAGCAAAATTTGGCTGAATTCAACATTTTTGTGTGAAAAAATCTCTTTACACCTCATTACATAAAAAACTTTCTTGGGGTTTTTGTAACTAAAATTATCATTCAACATAAGAAGCAAATCAGCGACAGTCTTACAGTTGATCGATCATATAGTAAATTATAATGGTAAATTAATCACATTAATTTCACTTGTACACCAGGTGACTGTGGCAGGGAGGGTTTCGATACAAGGTGTTGTTGCACATTATACATTATATATTGTTTAATTTCTTGATACAAAGTTTGTAAGTCAGGAAGTTAGAACTTGACAGCGAGTCAAAGTGACATTTTCAAGATTTTGTCGAATACCAAAAAAAATTAACAATTTGGGAATTTCTAATGTAGGAAATAATCACAACATTTTGGATCACAAGGGTGTTCACTTATATTCTGTATTGATGGTTATTTTTCGGGGATTTCTTCACTTCTCTGGTAAGGTTTTCCACCTTTCTCACTACAACATAAAATTTGCATGCATCATAACTAATTTCCTCTCTGAACGATCATACTGCATATTTCTGATTTATTATTTAACTTGCTGATTTCATACTACATGTGTAGATAGTGACATTGCTTGTAGGTCTTAACGCAGATCAATTATTATTGCAGAAAATGAATATATTTTGTTAAATAGTTTATTTATTTATTTGGTCTGAGTACTTCATCAAATTCACCATCTTGTTCATCCTTGTTTATAGCAAGTTATGCTGTACTCAGTGAAATAATAAGTCATTGGATACATGTCTGTTTTTTTTGTAGAAAAAAACAGTAAGAGGGAGCACTACAATTAGGGGAGATAGGTTCTTCCTACCAGGGTGTGGAGATTTTGATAATTCTAAGTTAAAATGGAGCATTCTATGGATACCTTGGAGCCAAAATTACTATCAGACAGGTCACAGTTGAAGACTGTGGCCACATGTGATCTCTGGTCAATCAGAATTTTATGGTTGCCAGAGGATCTGCTCCCCAGGGTAAGGGGGCTCATGACCATGAGGGTGTTGCGCCCCTGTTCCCTTGTTTAAACAAATCTCTGCATGTAACTATTATGTCATGATGCAGCGGTAAATCATAATAAATGAGTTGCATCTTGTTGCAGGGCATGTCTGAGTCTGGCTTGTCTGTACTGTGGGGTTCAATGTTGTTGGAATGGGTGTGAACCTTGCTTAAAGAAGGCATCCAATGACCACAATATTGTATACATCCTAATAATACTGTAGAATACTTTATTTTCGCTTGGAATTTATTTTCACTATTTTCGCTGAAGGGAAGATTCCGTGAAAATAAAATCCAGCCAATATACATTTTTTCCTATATTTTACATTAATCTCAACAAAAATCAGTGAAAATAAATTCCAAGCAAAACGCCCCAAATACCTTTTCAGCGAAAATTAATTCCAGCGAAAATAAAGTATTCCACAGTACTGTAGAAATCATTTCCTCAGAGAGCCAGTGAAAAATATTTTGAAAATTGTAAATTTGTTTTGCAAAAATAAATAAATTCTTGCTAAAATGATGTGTTCTACAGATTCTCACATTTGATACTACACCAGTTAAGTATGTAGAATCCAAATATATTCATATTCAAATTTGGTATGGAAATCAGAATCTAATTAGATATGCAAATTAGGATGTAACCGTAATAAAATTTGGTATGCAAATCAAGATTTAATCATATTCTAATTTGGTAAGCAAATCTGAATTTAATTGCAATCAAATTTGGTATAATCGAAATATGATTATAAAAGTATATGCAAATTAGAAAACAATTTACATATTTGTATGCAAATTATGATCTAATCTACATACTAATTGAGTTGGCAAATTATTTATTCATATCAAATGGAGTATTTAAATGGTCAACTATATTCAAATTTGCAAATCGAATTGTGTATGCAAAGGAATAG